TTAGAAGACAAAAAAAAACCCACCCCAGATCTTCTTCCAAGCTATTTGGGGGCAGCAAGGCAGACAAAGGCAACTGCAAGGCAGAAAAAGAAATATTTCTTTCTCTCTGGCTCTTACTGTATCCAGACCCTATTGATGCTTCACTCTGCATGTTGCAGGTTTACCACTTAATACTCTTCAAAGATTATAATGCATCCATTACAAAAGCCACTATAAGATGTACCACTTTACTTATATTGTTAACGAGCTTGGCTATAAAGGGATTTGCAACCTGAATTTCAGGAGAGCGCCAAGGTATAATTTGCTTTGGGCTCTAAAGCCTATGAATTATTGAGGCAATTTACTTCCAAGTCTGCATTTTCATTTTGAGCAGAAGTGCTCATGATGAGTGCATGTGTGTGTGAGAGGAGAGAGACAAGACTAAAGCTGCTGACAATGATGTAAGCACCAGCTTCTCCAGCAGTACATCTCCCCACCCTAAGCTCTTTCACACAGCCAGCAAATAACAAGAGAAAATAACTGGCAAAATGATCATTTTGGGCAAACGAGAGAAGAAAAATCACATGCTGAACAGTGCCAAATGAGCACCAAATTCAAATCACAATTGAAAAAGCATTTTGGGTAATTACAGAGAGAGATTTTTCCCTTAGAGATGTCAGAAAGCTTGTGTGGATATAATCAGGTTTGAGTGTATCTAGTGATGGTGAAAAACACCAGATTAACAAATCAGAATTCTTAGATCCTCCATCCAGCTGAGCATAACCTGCTGGGGACCGAGCCTCCCACTCGATGTTATTTTTAAGCCTGGTTTCTTATGGAAGTGAAGCTTTGTAATTGCAGGCAAATCTATGTCCCGTCCTCCCCCCTACCACTCTCCACACCCAGCTGACAGTTTCTGAACCCACTGACCAGTTTCAAGCAAGGTGATAGAGAACTGGAGGTTTCAAAGACAGGAAGCTTCTGAAAGTTTAATGAAAACAGGAGCTGCTTGGAGAAGAGAGATCTTTCAATACCCCCACTCCAGCATGAGCTCACCCTTCCTAGGCACTGGAGAATGCACACAAAGTTTAAGAACAGTCCCATCCCTCCTGTCCCTTTTACACACTCAGTAGAATAAACACAAAGGAACACTATGTCTGTCTAGGCTGGGAGCTTTTGAAAATATCCTGCTTACTGTTTGAGCCTCATTCAAAGTATCAACAACAAAACAAAGTTTTCCAGGACTATAAAGTCAGATCCCACACTGAGAGGTAAACAGAGGTTTGCAGAACAAAGCAGAAGTCAAAAGAGAAACTTTTATGGAAAACAACAGTGGAAATGAAGACATAGCATGAATCTCCATCCCACATTTTTGGATTTGATTAATGAGTTTTAAGACATCAGTTAAAGTAAAGAAGTTCTTTTTAACTTACCGTGCATTAGAACTAGGAGCTCACAGTGTCCTCTTCCTAGTAATACTGGAAAAATGCCTGGTGAGTGGAAGCTGGCTAGTGAAGCTATTTTTGTAGATATTAACAAGAAGAAAGTCTGTCTGCCTCTGGCTTGCCCCATTAAACAGAAGAGATCAATGGCCACTCTCTTCCATTCTGCCTCCTGCTCGTCAGTGTTACAGAAGCCATGTGGGAGCAGCAGCTCCAAGCTGTTGCTTGTGCAGACCAGGATGCAGGAGCCTGCCCTTGTAATTCTTTCCTCTGACACCAGTTCATTAAGGGGTCATTTTCTCTCACTGTGTTCCCATGTGCAATGGTGATTCTGACTGGACTTTCTACAGGAATATAAACTGTCCCCAAGATGGGAAGAGAGCTCTTTGTTTGCTGTGGGAATTGGAACAGAATTTGTAAATCCTCTAGTCATGATCTTTCTGTTATGGAGGGACATAACTTTTGCAATGCTATTGAGCTGAAAAACCAGTGAAGTGGAGGTGTAAATAATGAAGAGCTGGGGGGGTATTCTGCTGCCTCAAAAAGAGAGAGCCAGGGACAGCTTTGATAATCAGCTTTCTGTGAGCAGTTGGGTGAGTCTGCCAGAGGCCTGAGATATTACCATTGAAAACATTGTGAGGAGCAAACTGAGCTGCTTTGAATGTGCAAAGAAAATTCTGTGGTCCTGTAGGCTGATTATGAGTTTACATTAACAAATAGTTTATTCTTCAATTAGCGAACCATGTTATAAGGCAAGAGCCTGGGCAAGACACAGGACTTCTCCTTAGGTGCTAGAAAGAAAACACCAGATCATGCTCTTCTGCCTAGGAAGTCAGGGGAAAAACTAAGTGCTTTACTCACTGTGCCATGGCAGATGACACTTGCCACCTACAGACACACACGGACAGTCAGTTCCTGTTCATCACTGCCTCTTTGCCCAGCCTGTACTTTCACAAAGTCCAGGCAAGTCCAGTTCTTTTCTTTCCATCTGGATAATGACCTGTGGAAGTACCTAATGGAGAACACCAGTGACAGATTAGCAGAGGGCCATTCTAACCAGGCTAGCCTGAGGGTCAGACAGGCTTTTCTATTAATCCAGGTGCTAACAGGGCCGGCTCTGATTCGTGAGCACTCCAGGGGCATTTAGGGCTTGACTGGGGTCTTGCAGCTACACCCATCGTCCCCCATAACCACACGGGAACAGATCCCCTTGAGGCTCCGTGGATTGTCAGGTGCTGCAGATGGCTCAGAAGAGAAATGCATTGTGCAAGCAGGAGCACAAAGGGAAGTCAAACCGTTGTGATCCTTCCCCCATCCTCCTCAAGCAAGCTCAGTCCTTGCACTGCAGCGCGATCTTGGAAGAACTGAGCACACCCGGGCCGTAGAAGCGCCCTCGGCTCTGCAGCACCGAGAGCTGGTCTCTGGCAGAGCTGTTCCCAGGGGTGCGATCCTGCAGCGCGGCGAGAGGTGAAGGACTGCCCTCTTGTGTCAGCCGCTGCCTCTTCGGCTGCCTGGCCTGGCACTCCTGGCTCTGGGAGCGAGCACTCGGCCATTTCCCTCCAACAGGTATTTCTTCTGCAGGAAGGCACAGGACTTGTTTCTATTATCCTGATGGAAAACGTTAAGAAATAAAAATTCATCTGCTGTATTTGTGGCTTGGAAACACCCAGGACTGGGCACACGTTGCTCTTCCAGCTAAGAACATCCAAACAGTTACACTGGGTTATGCCAAGTCTCCATCTTGACACAGAAAAAGAATGCAGAGGAGGGAATAAAACAGGAGGGGTATAATTAAGAATGACAGAGAAGAGAAGCAGATTTGTTAAATGAATCTTTCCCTGCAACCCTCATAGTCAGCTAATGCAAGTTAAATATAGAACCAACCCTTCTCTGGGGAGCCACACTCCTGAACAGCTCACACGCCATGAAGGTGGAGCTGAGATCCTAGTCTGAGCTGTGCTGGCTAGCAGAAAGGTCTTAATTTTTAAATTTTCCAGGGTAGTTCTTGCAGTAATGGTTGTCAGAGAACAGTTTTCTAAAAGCTGTGCAAAATTTTGTGCCCACCACTTCTACTGCTTATTAATGACACCTAAATGACTGCAGAAGGTAGCCCCTCTTCACAGCTACCAAAGCAACTTCAGCAAGAATGGAGACCATCAGTCATACTCCTCTTCGTGGGTCAGTCAGCATTAACTCTGACCAGCACTGCACACTTAGCTGCAGTTGTTAACAGCACCAAGTGCCCACACTCTCCTGCCTGCTGTAGCCCCCTGTGGCCTACTCATGTTCTTACAGGTTGCCAAATTAGGCCCTTGCTAAAGTGGATTAAAAGAAAATCACTGCTCAGGAGTGGACAGAATTCATACTGTTTGGGATGTGGGAGGAGCAAGAAAGAGCTGTCATTTAAGAAAGGCCTCTCTCTCATAGCCCTTTTTGTCTAGGCTGAGGTTGCTGTAATCAGCTCCAGGCTCTCAGTTTTAAAATGATGCAGAGCAGTTATCCTTGCTATCAGTACCTCACAAAGACTCACCCCCAAAGAGTAATTTCTTTGGACTATTGCCCAGCCTGTACTATGGTATTTATATTTACAACTTACTCTAGATGGCACAGCTAGAGCATGCTTTGTATCATCCTGCACATCCTGAGCTCATCTACCTACTAAACTGGCAAAACCTGCCAGGAATCTTGTTCTTTTCTGTACTGTGTCCCTGACACCTCAGCAGATAACAAAATATAAAGGCATCTTGCAAATATTTGATGAATATTTGAAACATACTAGTAATACTTAACCTCCTGTGTGTCTCTTTGAGACTAATTCGTTCATACTTCAACTGGCAAAAATAAGCAGTAAAAGGATTCTACCCACAAATCAGCTCACCTTGAAAATAGAGGTTTAAAGATTTTAAAAAAACTAAAACCCAATTCCTCCAAGTCTCATGACCAACTAAAAACAAGCATCTTTTCTCATCTCTCTCACTTCTTGTCTCTAGTTGTGAAACATAACATAAGGTATTTCCCTCCACACACTTTCCTGTCCTTGTTTGCCACTTTCCTGCAGTTTAAGGAGCATGTGCCATTATGTAGCAGTTTGTACTCAATCAATTTTCTGAACAGTTAATGTTCTCAAAAGCAGAGAAACGACAGAGGCCATTCAGTGTGACTTGCTAGGATTTCCCTTTCAACTCCAGCCTGGGAAGCTTCTGTTCCAGAACAACAGCTTGCTGTTTGTACTGTTCTGACTCTTGATGTGTGCTCCCAAGATGGCAAAATTCCCTTGACCTTCTTTATTGCCATGTGCTGGATACAAGGAATATATCTTTTTTTCAGTCAGACAATGAACAAGCATTCATGTCCTGCTTTCACAGGTATTTTAAAACTTCTGTCCTTTTATTTAATTTCATATCCTTGAAGAAGCTTTACCACATTATAGCAGTCACAGAAAATATTTCTTCTGACAGATCATTACAAGGGCAGGAGAGGAAACATCTTTCCATCATAACCTGCTTGTAAAAGTAAACTCTTCATGTCTTCCTTCACTCTTACAGTCCTTCCCTTCCTTCACTCCCTGTCCGAAACGAGTCAGCGCTGCGGCTGTTCCTGTGTTGCATCTTCTGAATTTTCTGAACTTGCCTGTGTCGTAGAATCTCTGTTGATTGTGTCAGGTGAACACTGGGTGGGATTCAGCCCATCTGGCGTCACCTCTCCAGGGACATCATGGAGTTTCTGGCTTATCTGTGCTCCCTCAGTGTATTGTTTACCCATTTGGACAGCTTCGTCATAAGAAGGTGGCAACTCCATTGCATAGAGACTGTAGGGTGGAGGGGACACAATGTTCTTATCCATGTGCACAAACAGTGAAGGAAGAGGGGCACTCAGAGGGTACTGCCACGAGCTATATGCTGTGAAGAAAGGGAATTCAAAATAAATAAATTAAACACCTGCATGGAACACTGATCTACAAAGAGCTAATCCCACTGTTCTCCAAGAAATTATGGACTCATTTTTGTGGTGTCAGAGCATAAGCACTATACACTGGAAGCTGTCAGTATGCAGTCACCCATGGTGGAATCTCTACATTCTCCACAAGAAAGCAGTCAGGAGAGAAAACGTCTCTGCTCATCACCCTCCAGTAATTATTGTGAAATGCTCAACATGGTCCACATGGGCTGTGGCAGAGCACATGAGCAGCCGTGATATAATCCTCACATGAGAGAGAACTTTGGCTGTAGCAGTTGGACAGTGAGATGGGCAGAAGGGTTAAAAAATGAGGGAATGGTGATAAGAACAGATGTGGGAGATGACATGTAAGAGGTTAACCCACCACAGACTTGACTTTAACCTCCACAGAGTTACATCTTACTTATCTCACTTCCTGTGCTGCCCCAGGACCTTCCTTTATCTCTCTTGCCCACTCTCTGGGGCTGGGAGTTGTTCTGGGAGTACAACAAAAGTCCCTGTAATTGCAGGGACCAGAATTCCAGGCAGAGGAGGGCTCAGGTGAAGCACGGCTGAACCTGTGACCCCCAGGGGGATACTTACAGGTCACTGTGCTGTGGGCAGTGCTGTCACTGTCAATAGCAAGAGCTGGCAGATCACAAGGGTGCCTAGAGAAGGTCTCCACTGGCAGCCTCTTCCTCCGGCAGCAGAAGCTGATGCAGCTTGCAGTGATCCCACAGAGCAGGAGCAGGAACAGCGTCAGCAAGATTAACCTCAGAGAAGAGAGAACACCATCACTTCACTGCTTACCCTCTACTTCTTCCAGAGCTGAACAGAATTTAGCTAAATGGGTGAAAAATAAATCTCCATACTTGCTCATTACCTTTCACGATTTCAATTCTGCCCAATTACAGAAACCTTCTTGAAATACTTCTGTAACTATGCATTGTCAAACAGTTCTGTGTATCAGTGCCTTCTAAGAAAGCCAAGAATACAAACCAAAATTTACAGCTAAAAGTAACCGAATGACTCCACGTGCTGCCATCAGAGTTAATATAGTGACAGAATCCAAACTATGAAAATAATGTCAGGATGCCTGCAGTGCTCGTGTTAGGCAAGAGGTGAATCCACTCATGGCAAGAGCTTTCCCTTTCACTTAACACTATTTCTCCCCTTCCAGTCACTCAAACAGCCAGTGGACAGGTTTGCAGCCAGCTGGAGTTCCGAGGGAGCACACAGCCCCAGGAGCAGCCCTGCCCCCGCGGGAGGGAGCGCTGCGGGCTCTGCCCCCGGCTCTGCCCTGCTCAGCCAAGTTCCCCGTGGAGCAGCGCCCTGCCCTGCAGCTGAACTGCACCGCTCAGAAGGGAAAGGTGACCTGGCCCCGGGTGAATGCCGTGCCCTGCCTGACACCTTATCTCCCCCCCTCCCTGCTGCAGTATGTTCCACTGGCAGCCTCCGCAAGAGCACGGAAAAACCCTCTCCTCTGGCCTGAGTGTTCCCATTGCCCTCGTACAATTACTGTCCATAACAACTTCCAAATTATTCTGGGTTAGTGAGATTAATAATAAACTTACCAGACGTACCACAGGCTTGTCCAATTAGACATGTTCTGAGGGCATCTGTGGAGGAAGGCAGATGATTCACAGTCATTTAAATATCTACAAACAGCAAATGTCTGACAAGGAATAAATTTCACACGATTTCTGACATGGAAAAGGGAAAACAATCAGTTAGAGTATGGAGCAAAAGTCCTTTAGACGGAGTTTTGGAGGACTGTTCTTCATGGCTGGAAAATTACTCAGCTGAGAACACGCCAATAACCCCACTATAAAAGCTGACTCCTGAGCCAATAGGTGTTGTCATGAAGTGGTACTTGACTGTTGTTTAGGAGGGAGAACAACACCTGCAGCATTCTCAGAAAATAAATCAAAGAGTCATTTAAAATTAACTGAGGTGAGGTACCTATGGCCATGGGTCTGTCTGGAAACGACAGCTGAAGACAAGTGCCTACTTTCCCCAGTTGTTTTTAAACTACTTTTTCATAGCTCAAATGCAACCAGAAAAGGTTTTTTCAGATCTACCTACAGCACAGCAAAGGGAGAGGAGCTCTGTTAGATGGCAGGAGCCAGGCAGCATTGCACACAACGGATTTCACGTCCTGGGACAACCCTTCTGGCCCCAGAAGAGAATCTGCAAACTGACTTTTCCAAAGATGACACTTGGGAGTCATTTTGAAAGAGAGGATCGTTCACCTCAGGCCGGAGCAAGGCCAGAGGAGGCAGACCCGCAAGCTGGTAGCGATCCCAGAGATAAAGGCCAATAAAGGCAGCGAGGCGGCCGGCAGGACGCGGCCGTTCTGCCCCGGGAACGCCACTCGGCCACGGGGCAACCCGCGGCTGAGAACGTTTTGGTTACTCACTGATCAGAGTTCTCGCAGTTGTTCTCAGAACAGAGAGGTGCCCAGGAAAGCGAAACAGAACCGCATCGGATCAGCAGGCGGCCACAGGAGAAGCACCCGATACCTGCGGGGGTTGAGCGGGGCAGGACCGGGCGCCCACCGAGCAGCAGCGTGGGGGGACCGCCGGAGGTGCGAGGGCT